TTCTGCTCCCGTAAAGATTTACAGCCTTGGAAACCCTGTACAGGGTCGCTATGGGTCGGAACCGACTCGACGGCACTTAACAACAACAACAACACTTGGTTTACTTTAAGTGCTTGTAATTGGTTAACTTGATTTAGCTGGTCTGCTTGGTTAGTTGTTTGTTATAGAAATGAACACTTTCTAACTTAATGGGCTAAGTTATCCAGCTGAATTAATTTGCTCTATTTCACATTTATTGAAATTTAAAAAACAGGGTTGTCTTACTGAACAAATCTACTTATAGGTATATTTGCACTGTAGCACATAGGAAAGTTAATTGTACTGTGAATGTATACCTTAATGAGAAATTTGCTCATACAGATGCTGATCTCTTTAATTTTATTCTTCAGTGTGGAATGAATCATAGGAGGCTGATGTGTTGGTGAGGGCCGGAAAACAATGCAGAATTACCTCAGAAAATAATGAAAACAAACAAGTTATGTCAAGAAGTGTTTTTGAAGTTAAATTAAGTAGCTTGTGAACCCAGTAATAACCTCATTTTGAGAAATAAGTATGATTGCTTGTGGACATAATGTTACTTTCAGTTCTGTGTCAGGAATTAGGCATGATTTTTATTTATAAAACATTCATTTTAAGGATATGCAAATATTAAAAACAATATTAGAGACTAAGGAATATAATAAATAATTTTTAGATTTTTTAATGTACAGTTCAGTGGTGTTAATTAGGTCATTATGTTGTACAGCCATTACTATTATGGAGTTATGCTTATTTTTAAAGTAATTATGTGACCTAGCACAGAAAGTTTGGTTAACCAATTCCATGAATTTTAACTCTTGCTGCAGTGAATAAAATGGAAGAAATTTACACAAATTGTTTTCCTTTCTTCATTAACTTGCTATGTATGACTAAGGAAAAGCTAAAGAAATACACTTTTTATATTTCTAGGCCCGGATAGCATTTTTGCAAGGAGAAAGAAAAGGACAAGAAAACTTGAAGAAGGATTTAGTAAGAAGAATAAAAATGTTAGAATATGCATTAAAGCAAGAAAGGTATGTGTGCCTCATTTTCTTATATAAAGTAGACCAATATTCTGTATTTTACATATATAAAACCCTGCTGAAATACAAGGAAAAGTACAAAATGGTTGATTTTTTTTCTTTTCTTTTCTTATATGTTGTTGTTGTTGTTAAGTGCCGTGGAGTTGGTTCCGACTCATAGCGACCCTGCACAGGGTTTCCGATGCTGTAAATCTTTACGGGAGCAGAACACCTCATCTTTCTCCTGCGGAACCGCTGGTAGTTTCAAACTGCTGACCTTGCGGTTCACAGCCCGATTCGTAACCACTATGCTACCAGAGCTCCTTATATGGGAAAAGAAAAGAAAAATAAATAGATTAAAATCTTTAAGATGAAATAATATAGTGGATTGTAAATTTTTCAAAAAAGACAAAACCATGTATCTTTTTGTCACTTGGGGTATGTTTGATACCAGATGATTTTGACTGTTTTTATTTTTTACAATGAAGTTTTAAAAAAAAATAAAAAATCCAGATACCGCATTCTGCTTTGTTTGTTATTAGATAAAAATATAACAGTTGGCAATTAATTGTGTAGTAAAACAACAAAAAAAAATTATATTTATAATTTATTATTAAATTTTCAGAGCAAAATACCACAAATTAAAATATGGCACAGAACTGAACCAAGGAGATTTGAAAATGCCAACCTTTGAATCAGGTAAACTCGATTCTTCTTTGTTTCTAATTTAAGAAATTTTAATCCTGTTTTTTATGGGGGAAAAAGCAAAAAATGTTTTCTTTATCACCATTTTGTTTTGATAGCATCTATTGGAGAGATGATTACTGTAATACTGTCTGGAATTTTGTGTGTGTATATGGATATACAACTATTGTAATAATACATAGAATTTTACAGGAAAATATTAAATGAATAAAAAATTAAGTAGTTCTGAATCTCAACTCTGCCATTACTTGTCCTATTTTTTTATTTACCCTGCTTTGAAATCTATTTATGACCAGGAGGCAGCTTTTTATAGTAATTAGAGCTGAAAGGCAATAAAGTGACTGTTTTTAAACTGGTAGGTGGTTCTTGACCTATCCTACATAAATTTAGTTTTATTAATATGTCGTTTTATTAGGAGAAACTGAGATCAACTTAGTTTGGTTGTTAGATAACAGAAATATGACTGAATTTGAATACTATACAGGCAACCGAATAAAGATAAGACAAACCAAAAAACTCACTGCCATTGAGTTGATTCAGACTCTGAGAGACTCTATATAGCTTTTCTGAGAATATAAATCTTTGAGAACAGAGAGTTCCATCATTTTATTACAGAACGGCTGGTGGTGTTGAACCACCGACCTCACAGTTAGCAGCCCAGTGCCAGCCAAAAGGAAAAATTAATCCCTATTGGGTGTTGGCTCATTCCTAATTCTACAGTGCTTGTCACAGTGCTATTTGATTAATTGTGAAGGGAAGAGAGAGCGGAATCCAGGAAATTGTCTACAGTTTTATGTTTATTTTAGGGCTTTATATGTCGTGCTGTAGGATCAGCACTGGACTGCAAGTTTCAAGCTTGGGAGTTCAAACCCACCAGCTGCTCCTTGGAAACCCTATGCAGGGTCACTATGAATCAGGACTGACTGTGGTACTCAACCACAAAAACATGATTATAGTTTGGAGTGTAAAATAATCTAATCTAGTAAAGTCTCAGGTATATTTAGAATTTATTTATTTTCACACTTGCAATATTGTTATTGTTGTTAAGTGCTATCCAAATGTGTCAGACTGCAGTGTCTTTTGAACTGCAAGGTCAGTGGTTCAAAATCACCACCTGCTCCTTGGAAACCCTATACATGGTTACTGTGGGTCAGAATTGACTTGACGACACTTAACAACAACAACCCTGTGTAGGGTTTATTTGATTCAAACTGACTGCATTCTAGTGCTTTATTCTTCAGCGCCACACCAGGACTTCATGCTTGAGATAGTACAGTCAAATTGAAATTTAAGCTGTTCTTGAATACTGGCTACTAAGGCAAGAAAAAGTGTGTTGTTATTTGGTGATATAATCTTCCTTCTCTTTTTTTAGTTGTTTACCCACCTAGTTAATGAAGTCAGAAGCATACATGGCAGGAAAAATAATTTACTTGAGTTTTAGTTCTGTATTAGCTACTTTGTAGCACTCATACAACTTGCAGATGATTTCTTTTAGATCTTCTCCAATTCCAATTTTAAGGAGCTCTGGTAGCGTAGTGGTTACGAATTGGGCTGTGAACCTTAAGGCCAACAGTTCGAACTACCAGTGGCTCTGCGGGAGAAAGATGAGGCGTTCTGCTCCTGTAAAGATTTACAGCCTCGGAAACCCTGTAAAGGGTCACTATGGGTCGGAACTGACTCGACGGAACTTAACAACAATAACAACATCTACCCTGTATACAGAGGGGATAGCATTGATACTTGATATAAAGACTCCTTCCCTCTCTGTTGGTATTTTGATCTACTACCTCCATGAGTATAGGTCAAGTTCATCAAATTGTGACAATTTACCCTTGTTTCATTTATCAAAATTTGTGTGTGTGTGTGTTTTTAAGTCTTCCTCTAGTCGAGTTCTGATTATTAAGCCATCAAGGCTAGGTCAAATGAGTGTACTTACTGTCTGCAAGTTTGGGTGTTCTTGTGCATCTCCCCTCACTCATATCAGCTGGATGCTTCACTCTCAGCTCTAGCCCTCTGCTCAGGTGTCCCCAGGTCTCACCACACTTTGGACCAACCAGTCCTTCCTCTTCTCTCTCTCATCTCCAGGTCAGTGGGAGTCTATGGAACGTGGTTGAATTCAGGCCATTTCTTCAGTGCTGCCTTTCCCCCTCTTCCACTCACCAGTAGACCAACGTGGTCACCAGCAAGCTTACATGCCTGTTCACGTGTTCATTTGAGTTTCAGTCTTGGGGGTTTGGTCTGAAGGGACTTGATTGCTTGCCTTAATGGCTTCCCAGTGAACATTTAGCTTATTCTTGTAAGTAGCCAGCCATACTGTCATTTTTGTTTTGGGTTTTTCCTGATGATCTTTCTTTGAAGATATGTCTTCTGTGCTCTAGCTGTTCCAGGCTGGTCTGCTTGTCTTTTCTAGTGGGCATTCATAAGTTTTTAAGATCCCAGTCGTGTCTCACCAAAGAAAGATGTAGAATATTGTCTTTGTGGACTATGCCAGTTGACAAAGTGAAACTTAAAGTATTTTATAGAATGGTTTTATTGTCTCTGTAAATCCTTGTGCTTCACTTATTTCTGACTCCCTGACTGATCTTTTTACCCTCTGTTATAGTTTTGACTTTTTCAAAATGTGACATAGGTTGGGTTCATACAGCATATATACCTTTTACAGATTGGCCTGCTTTGCTTAGCAGTATGAGGGAGTTTCCAAAAATTCGTGAAAAAAATAGAATTAAAAGTTAACAGAATTCTTCCACAAAGTTTTTGAAGCCCCCTCCTGTACATTTACGGCTCCTCCATGTAGGAACTGCCAGAAGATCAAAGCAGATTCAGAATAGGACATGAAACAAGGGATGTCATTGCTGACATCAGATGAATCTAGGCCAAAAGCAGGTGATACAAAGAAAATTCTCACATGTGTTTTATTGATGCAAAGGCAATTGATTGTGGAGCATAACAAATTATAGGTAACATCAGGAGCCATGCGAATTGAGAACACTTAATTAGGCTCATGTGAGACATTTATATGGATCAAGAGACAACTGGTTCAATAAAACAAGAGAATACCGTGTGTCTGAAACTTGGGAAACGTGTGTGGCAGAGGTGTATCCTTTTACCTTATTTATTCGGCCTGTAGAAAAAAATAATATATGAAGCCTAGACTGTATGAAGAATAATGCAACATCAGGATTGGAAGAAGAGTTAGTAACTATCTCTGGTAGATGACACAGACTTGCTTACTGAAACTAGTCTATACTTACTTACCTATCTATCAGTCTGTGGCGATGTTGGCAAACTATTCCTGTCAAGGAACAGATATTAGACTTTGCAGGTCACAGAAGATCTATGTTGGCTTTATTAACTCTTGGCCCTATGGCTCTGCAAACACTGTTCTCAAGCCAGGTAGTTTGCCAGTTCCTGCTTCATTTTGAACAGATGTGTGTTTGTGGTTTTTTTATATCGTACTGAAACAACCATTTTGTGGTTATTTTGCTTTGTTTAAGACATCTTTTCTTAGTTTGAAGTTCTGAAGACTTTGTGTATTATTTAAGTCAGTCAAAAACTATTGCTACAAAATCATAAACTTTTATTAAACAGAACTATCAAAATATGATGCTATCGTTTCTCAACATAGCCTCCATCTACTCCTATACTTTTTTGAAGGCAGTATTTACGTATCTCTAACCCTTCCCCAAAGAATTCTATGCTCTTTAATTTATACGACATCAAAATGGGAGTTTTGGCAACCTCAAGAAACTCACATCTTGCTCCTTTTAAACATTCTTTGAAGTTTGGGGAACAAAATGAAGTCTGAAGGAGCAAGATCAGGGCTAGAGGGTAGATGAGGGAAGATGGAATTCTTTCAGAACAACCCTTCTCAAAGAATGAGCAAGTATATTGTGGTAGGAAATTTTTCTGGTGAAACTTTCCTGGCCTTTTCTTACCAATGCAGTTTTTAGTATTTTTTTTTTCCCCTTTTAATTTTGGATGATATTTTATTTAGTCATTTTTGTTTATAATAGAAACTTTGGGAATTCAGAATTAACATCTTGCTTGTGGTCATCTTACATATACCAGAAAAGGTGTATATTCTATAGTGTTATGCTGTGCTTTGTCCAAATGAACGTTTATAAGCTGGCCACACCATCCAACTTTGCAAGGATTCTCTTGCCCACAATTTCATTTGGGAAAACCAAGTCTATAAGCACTGCATCTTGTACAGCTAGCTGTCAAGAGTGTGGCTCTTGGGACACTTTTTCTTTGTTTTTGTACGGCTTTTTTGAGTTGGTTTAGGCAGAGTTTTCTGAGCAGTAAAGACCCAAGTACTTTCCACTCAACTTTTTCTCCTGTTCACGAACTAGTCTGACTTGTATTTTTTGGAAAGATTTCAGTTGAGGAATGGGAACAAGGATTATAATAGCCTTTCCGACCACTACCAAGTTCAATTTCTTTGGCTGCAGTTAATGTTCCTCTCTCTGAACTGATCTTTTAGGTCCCAGTTCATTTCCAGCTCTAGAAGAGCCTAAGACAGTGCCTGGTTACCACTACCAACTGCTCTGAAAGGGATCTCTAATGTGATCTCTAATGTGATCCCTTTCAGAGTAGTTGGTAGTGGTAGCCAGGCACTGTCTTAGTTCTTCCAGTCTTAGAGTTGTGGAGACTGATGTTCACATGCCTTTTAATTGCTGAGCACTGGTTTAGTAAAAGGAGTTTTCAGTATTCTTAAATTCTTCATACTAATTTTTTTTTTTTTTAAGGTTTTTATTTTGGATTGAGTGAAAGTTTACAGGGCACATCATCAGTTTCACATTCAGCAATTCATATAACTTGTTTCATTACATTGATTATGTGCCCCCCCATATACCATCAGTTAAAAGTATTTCTCTCTATCCACTTTAGCTTTTTAAAAAACACAAACAAAAAAACCCCACTCAGGCATATATAATAATTTATATCTCCAAAGGGCACATTCTACAAGTCTGCTCCTGGGCACCAGTTCTTAG